GAGAAGAAGAGGAGAAAGAAAGAGGGGGGCGTGGAGGGAGAGAGAGAGAGAGAGAGAGAGAGAAAGAGAGAGAGAGAGAGAGAGAGAGAGAGAGAGAGAGAGAGAGAGAGAGAGAGAGAGAGAGAGAGAGAGACAAGATGGGGCAGAGGATTGAGCGTGTAAAAAGCAAGATGGAGAAGGTTTAAGAAAGATTATACGTCTGTGCTTGTGTGTTATATGAGTTTTTGTCTGTCCGTGTGTGCATGTGAGTGTAGCACGTTGATTCACAATCGAGAACTCACCATCAACAATTCCAATTCCGTTAGTAGAGTTCAGAAATATTTCCTGATCTCCTGTGCCGGCTAGTGTTGACCTGTAGATGACCCCTTCCTTCACATCACTCCAGTACACCACCTGTCATTGGAAATGGAATGTTTAAGTTTTACGCCTCTACCGACATATTTCAGGTAATTTATATGGTGGTTTACTGCCACCATGCCTGTTATGGTCAACCCGGGCTGAGAGGGATGTATCTTCTCAGCAGGTAGACGGGCTTACTCAATTTTTTAAAAGTTTAATACATAGATAAAACGTACTCACCGATTCGATTGGTCATAGACAAGACTGATCATTTTAGTAAGGTCACAAATCATACTGAATGACTTGATTACGTAATAAAGGTCAGACCCACATATTTATAAGTCCATAGGTCACACTCAATGGGTCACAGAGTACTCATACCTGCTGAATGGCCCATAGGTCATACTGATCTTTGTAATAAGGTCACAAGTGAGGCTGAGTGGCTTGATCAATTAATGTCAATAGGTCGCACTCATTTATTTATAAGGTTTATAGGCCACATTAACTCACCTGTTTGATTGGGTCATAGGTCACGGCGCTGGGCTGTGAGCTGCGTCCGGCCAGGGTCAGGTAAGGAGACTGAGCACCTCGCAGAGAGATGAAGCCTACCTCGCCCGAATCTCGTAACGTAAAGAATAGAAGCTCGCTGGGTGCTGGTGGAAAAAAAGAGGAATAAGTTGAATAAGTTGAGAACAAGAGCACACTGTCGTGTTTCACCGCGCATTACTAAGTGCATATATGTACATGTATTTATATTATATACCAATTCTTCCTTTCAATGTAGGTGTATTTACGCCCCCATTGACACTATTTCAATTATCATTTGGGAGGCGAACTTCAACCCTGCCATCCAGGCAAAGAGTCATACGGCATATAAGCAGAAAGACCGATAATATACTAGATATAATTCGACCCACTTTGGAATTAAACTCGGATCTCCTGCGTGGTACAATCAAACGTCTAGCCGCTACACCACTGTCGCAGGTACATTGTTATGTTTGAACGTAAACTACATGGTATTAATAATATCTGTCAGTGTTTGTGGCGTGGTAGTCATACTCTCCCCCTCGCTCTAAAAAAAACCGCAAGTTCGATTTTCAGCTAGCGAAGATATTTTTAAACTAAAATCTCATCCTTACTGATAGACAGGGTGTACGCTGGCTGCCTCGTAAATAATCGAAATTGTGTTGATGGGGGCAGAAAAAAGAAATCATACGAGAGGCCAGTAAATAAGGGCCAAGACCCCAATTAATATTTAACTCTCCACTTCCTCTTTCTCCTACTCCTCCTTCTCCTCCTCCTTCCCCCTCCTCCCCCTCC